TGTTTTACAGGTTTTATGCATTTCTATAAAATAAGGAATATTTGTAGGTTTCTTCCTGTTAAAAGGGAGTTTTTCCTCACCACTGTCGCTACAAGCATGCTGAGTGTGAGCGATTGCCTTTGAGTCAATGAGTCGATGCAATCAACTGGTTTTCCTTAGATGGAAAACTTTGAATCAGTTTGACCGGACAATCTGGTCAACTGTCTTTGTAAAGTGCCTTGAGATGACATGTTGTGAATTTGCGAAATTGGATGAAGTGAATTTAACATTTAAGGTGTATAGTGACCTTATAACCCTTGACCCTGATCTATGTCCAAGATCTGAATGTGTTTTAATATGATATATGGTCATTAAACACAAAGCAATAGCAGAACGCACACCACTGACCGACTGAAGCTAATAAGAGGTTGTTTTTAGGAAATATGTTTCCTGCTTCGATTAAATAAAAGACATGATCACTGTTACATTTGGAGAAGGAGGGAGCTTATAAACCTGAGAAGACTGTTCCCAATGTTAGGTAAAGTGATGGAAGTATTATGCTGGGTGTGTTTAGATCCTGAACAGAAATTTTTGTCTTCCAAATGGACTGTAATGGTGATCATGGTGGCACATAAAGAATCGGCTTGAATACAGAAGTCATTAGCTTTGTTTCCAATAAAAACGTGTGCAAAACTATGTTTCACAAAATGCTAATTGCAATTGAAGTATTTCCATATATAGAAATACAACTAAAATCACTTGTCAATACGTTTGTTTATGTGAAAACTCCTGAATGCAACAGATGTAAACACATGAGATATAACCATACTGTATTTCATTCACGATTCTAGTGCTCATCGTCATGAACTAAATGTAATAACTAGTCTCCTTATAAATCCAAATATGCTGCACTATCATCTTCCAACTACCTCAATGTTCTTCTTTCTCTTTTAACAGGGAAATAAGGTACAGCTGCAGATTACATAAGTCGTTTGATTTTGCAAAATTTAAGAATTTGAATTTAAAAAACACCTCAGCCACGCTTAAAACATTTTTTTCTAAAGATAATGTGAGTTTTTTCAAAACTGCAGTGTTTAATTTTAGCAAATTTATTTTTATAATAACTTGTGCAATTTGATGTTAATTAAAACACAGATACTGTCTTATTCTTAATGCAAATAGACATGTATTTTTTTATAAGGAAAATTATTGAACCTATAAGTTTTGATCTTACACTGGGAAATTATAGTTACAAGTAGGGCTGTATTTAAATGTATTATTTATTTGAATAATTTATTATTTATTAAAAGACAATCAAATTATCTGTTAATAAAGATGAAATATTTTGAAAAATCTGGATTTTTTTTCCACCAATACACCTATGAACTTGGACTCTCATAGCTTTGGGTTGAAACCAGTTAATTGTCTTTTGTTCTTAAATGTATATGTATGACTAATAAACTATCTGACTGTGAAATACCACTATCTGCTAACATTTAGTTTGAAATATTCCTTTTGTTTGTCAGGAACATTTTTTAAACAAGCATTTCCACAGCTTGAATTCTGTGGGTCTTTATATTAAGGACACCTCCTAATGGTACAATTGAGATAAAAGCTTCTTTTTAAAAAATTCTGTGTGTTTTTTGTCGTTTTTGTAATGAAACATTTTGGGGGTAATCAATTCATCGGATTTGGTAGGAAAAAAATTTGAAATCAGCCTTAGTTAATGAATTTATTAATCTTGGTGAAATCCGTTTTCCAAGTGAAAGTCACCTGTTCTCATATAGTAGACATCAACTTTTCTTTTAGGTTATTTTTTAGCATTTTATCTAAGACTTAATGTTGTTTAACATCTAATATTTCACCTTTTTGCTTCTGAGGGGTGTTTTATATTTCAAAGGGTATTCTCTAAGGATGCTCATTAATTATTTTTAAGAGTGTTTTAAATTTCTGTCCCTAGAAAGTTTAATTATCGTCTCACAATGACAAAAAGGATTATTGATCATTTTTTTATTATAGGAAATTTTGACATTTTAACTGCCAAAGACCTGAGATTGTTTAGCCAAACTTACTGTATTTTAAGCATAAATAATCAATCCGCCCTTGTAAAATATATGATTATTTTATTTTTTATTTTCTGGGAATCTTTTCATTACTCGTGGTTTAATATAGCTAAATTTTCCAGTCTTCATTTCAGGTTAACAGCATGTCCAAAAAAAACTGCTTCCACCAACAAAAATGTCAGCTTAAAAAAGCAAAATGCAGCATGAAAAAAAAAGATGTATTTCACTGTGTGTTCCTAACTCATGCATCAACAGGCTCAACATCCCCATCAAGGTCTGCAGACATCACTGAAAGATTCACGCTCCGAGATTAATTCCCTCGAACTAATGGGATTCATATGAGTTGTGAGCCTCCTAATTTATTTACTTTGTCAGCAACGCGCAAATATGCGTATGCAGCAACAAAGAGGAGAAAAAAAACAGAAATACAGTAAACATGCCCCCCCCACAGAAACACTTTACAGTAAGCGAGGGATCAATAATGATGGATGAGGGCCTTTTATACAATCGGCATGTCCTCCTCAGTTCACAGCCACATGACACCCCGCCTGTGGCTACCCCATTCTGCACTTCAGCAGTCAATCACATGCTAGCTTTAAAAATAACAGTTTGTTAGCACCATTGATTTAGCACTTAGAGCGTGTCCTTATTACCCTGTAATTATGGTCAGTGTTGACATAACAGCAGAGACAAGCAGGCCTCCCACCCTCCAATACAATTTATGGGCTCTGGTTTTATTACCGCCATTTCATGTGTCTGGGTTCCCCCGGTTAAGCGGCAGGCTTGAGTTCTAGCCAAGGGCCCCGTATTTCACTCACCGAGGTCAGGGATCCCAGGAATCCCTCCCTTGTAAAACTGAAACAACAGCGAGGGTCTGCGTGTGGATCCAGGGAAGCCCTCCCTGAGGCCTCATTAAAATAAACGGCTGATCACAGGCAATAATCCAAATAATACAATTCATGAGGGCAATGTGACGCTATTAGGACGCAGAACGGGACACGGGTTGAGTCGTGTTCTCTAGGAAAGCCAGGCATTGGAAAGATCTCATCTAAATAATTTACAACCGCACTTTAAATCTATTAGAAGACAGTGAGAGTGCTGTAGCTTGTAACCGTGTTATGACTTTATCTTCCAGCTCGGCAAAACAAGAGTAATCTCTGTCATTAAGATGAGGAGATAAACAAGCAAGTTGAACGCCGTAGTTTTCTTTTAAGCTCTTTGGTGAAGCTGTGATAAGATCTACACGCTGAAATATAATCCAGGGAGCAGAGCTCAGCCTCTGTGCTGCAAAGCCAGCTCCCCTTATGTTACCTTCAAGTATTCCTGCTTTTAACATTGTGTGAAAAATGAACATGGCTACTGTGACATTTCCCCCCCACCACCCACCAAATGTCCCGGTACACACAGATGGAGAAGACTGGATTCTCATCATTCAGAGGAGCTGCCTAGAGAAATTTTTCAGAAAAGTGTTCACACCCCTTTGAACTTCCTTCGATTTTCTCAGGTTACAGCCACTCACTAAAATGTTTGCTATCAGGGATTTTTTTCACAATAAATCCACGCAAAGTTAGCCGTATGTAAAGTGGAAGAAAAAAAAAGAGCACTAGATTAAAAAAAAAAAAAAAAAAGCATTTGTGTGAAACCTGTTAGAGGCTGCTACTGGGGTGAAGTAAAGGAAAAAAAACTAAACATACAGCCAGAGGTACAACAGATGGCTCAGATCAAAGCATGTTCATGAGTTATATGGAGAGAAATCCTGGAGAAATTTAACTAGAAATCTCTGATAAGATGTGAAAATTGCTGTTTAAAGACTCCCAAGTTTGATCTGAATGGGAAATGTCTGTAGATATAGAAAGCTAATAGAGGTCTACCCCAAAATGGAGATTTTTTTTAGAGATTCTGCTGTCCAGGTTGACCCTTGACCCGGATTTAGTGCCGCCTTAAACAACTTTAAATTATCCTATTAAAGTTTAGGGTGTTGAATACTAAAAAAGGGCTGTATTTTATGTTTTCCCTTCACTCCACAGTTTGATGATCTTTGTGTTGGACAATCATATAAAATCCAACAGGAAAAAACTGAAATTTGAAAATTTTATATATCAAAAAGGGAAAAGCTTTGAATGGTAGAATTACTTTTTGCAGGACAAAATTAAAGTCTTCAACATGAGAGCTTTGCTTTATCTTTATTAACCACAAATGTGAAACATTCCTTCTGTTATTGTACTTAAAATGATTAAAGGTCTATTTACATAACTATAAATAAGCTCCTTCCTTTATTTTGCCTCACCTTTCCATACAGTTTTGCCTAAGCAGAGACCACAGTGATTCAATTTGAAATCGACCAATCGCAACAGTCTGGGAACAGGTCCCACTCCACAGTAGAGCAGAAGTGCCCAAATTACAAGCCATTGATTTCCAGTAGGATGTCTTTGCACTGGTAGCTACTCTGCATGTAGCTGTGAGACGACCATAAAACACAAGGAAACAGATTGAGAGAAAAGAGCTGAGATGCAGGATGGCATTCACCTGCAGTTTACATCAAACAGAAAGGAAGGGCCTCGCATGGCTGCCTGCTCAATTAACCCCTCGGATAGAGGCGCCGTAATGAACAACAGCACCATTACGCAGCATCCGAATGGCACTGCACCCCGGCGGCCCGGGAATAGACAATGCAGCTGTCGGTGCTTCTGTGCTGCAGCTATCGCTAACGGAGGGAATTTAGATGTTGGGGATATCAGCATGTTCATGAGGCGATCACCAGAGTTGATGTTGTTTAAACTCTTAAATAATTACACGTTTTTACACAACCCATTTGGGATCGCTGATCAACATGTTAGAGAGAGCACAGAGAAATGTATTTTTATTAGAAAGAAAACCACCAAAGCTACCACCGAACCAGCAAGAAACACCAGAAATCAGACAGAGGTTCAAATTATCTCTTGGTCTGTTTTTCCCCACCTTGCTAATGATGTAGATGAGATCTCCTCTCCTAAATTCCAGCTCGTCCACCTCGTCGGCCGGGCAGTCCCACAAACCCTGGTAGTAGTTGGAATATTCTGATGAGGAGGCTGAAAGGGAAATAAGAGTGTGCAAATTCACTAAAATGAAACCAGGGCTGACATCTGTAATCAATTAGCAAATCTAAATAAATAAACTTTAAAAGAGGTTCAGACCTGGCTCGTTGTCCTTCTCTGCAGCCTCAACCCCCGCCAATTCTTCATCTAAACATACAGAATAAATCAATCACAATGGAGCCGAAAGAGAGAAACTTGTCTCGGCCAGGAAAGGTCCGAGGAATGAATCTGTGTTTATTCTGTGTTTCATTTAGTGAACTGATTGGACCAGTTCATCTAATGCCAATAAAATAGGAGTATTACACTGCTACTAATGATGGCATAACTATTCAGCAATTAATCTAGTAACTCTGTTTTATGCAAAAACATATTTATGGTAAATTATTACTAGAAGAAAAATAAGGCAATATTTGTCTCATGTATCTTTCAAATAGGACCATGAGTGATGGATAAAACCAAGGCTCAAATATAAACAACAATAATTGGTATATTATACATCTATGATTATTGTGATTACACATATAACTGATTATTCTGACAAGAATAACAAAAGAGGAAAGAAAAAGGCTGATAACATAAAAGTTTTTAGCAGAAATGAGGCCGTTCTCGAGGATCAGTATGTATGATGCTGCCGTCGGCAGAGGCGGATGTTTTCTTGACCGTGGGGCGTGGCACCCAGTGGTCTGCTCTGTGACACAGTGATCCGCCTGCCCTCTTCTCCCACATCCATCGTGCACAGAAGAGGCCTGACAGCAATGCCACAACGCAGCAACACTATCCACCTTCCAGCGTGACCTGCAGCTCTCCGTTCCAGGAAGGGAAGCAGAGATCAAACACACACACACAAATATTTCTGGATGTGATCTTTGTTTCTGTGAATGTAGAGAGTCAAAGTCCCTCTTTTTTCTACCCTGAGGAGTCATTTTAATCTGCTTTGCTCTGCTTCTAAACATTTGTTCAGCCGTCCTCAAGTGGTAGAAAGAGGAGCATCATACCAGCGAGCAGGCGCGGCTACGGCCTGATGGTTTCCACATTACAGTGATTGAATTTTCCAGTCAATAAAATCAGTCATCAGCAATAGAAGCTAACGCCACCTTGGACCTGCAGTATCCCTGAAGGATACAACACTGCAGTTTTTTTTATTTTTCTCCACATTTAATTTCAATAATTTCCAGGAAAGAACATGAATCACGAACTTTCCTTCTCAGCTGAATAAACTGGTGCTTTTGTCCTTTGATCTAGCAAAGGAATATTTCAATTACCATCAGCTCTCCTCATCTGCAAGGCTGATTAGTGGAGTTTTTAATAATTTACAGGTCTATAATCTCTGTGTAAAAGCTGTTGGTGAGCACAGAGTGCAGCAGAGTGATTGATAAGCTTTTCGGGGTGAGAAAGTGAACGAAAGAGCTCGTCATTCGATATGCCATCTGTGGTCAGGGTCTCTACCTCTTCCCAGATGGCTTTGAACGGCAGCGTGACAGTTTGAAGACTGATTTCCCTTTCACCAGCGATTTTGGCAAAGGTAATGTACTCACTGAGTGAAACAGAATCTTGATGTATCTTATTTAATAGGAACAGTGATGGACGACGGCGCTGGGAAGATCAAATCGCCTCTTTTGTCCTTCTTGGGATCTTGTAGCACCCCCTCAGAACAAAAACTCACAGAGACTTTTCTAGATTCTCGTTGTTCGAAATCTGATTTGTATTAAACATTAGGCATTAAAAACTATTTTAAAGCCTTGGGGAGGCAGTTTTTACTAAATTTCTGCTAAAGAGCTGTTGCTAAGCAATTTTAGCCCAAAACTCTGTTTAGTGGATTGAATTGGAGGCTATTTGTTGCCAGGCAACATCAGCTAATTAGGCATGATGTGACAGAGCTTTTACAAACTGCCAGGAGATAAGGAGGAAGAGGATTCACATTTTCTCCTGCCCTGTGCAGCCCTGCAGCAAACAAACCAGTACAGGCGAGCATATTACCAGAGGCGCCTCACTTACCCTCCAACTTCTGCTCTCTGTAAATGGATTCTGGTCAGGTTCCCTTTCATATAAACAACGGTGGGATGAACTGGGATGCAGGACTAAATTTGATCTGATGGACAGTATAATTTAGTTGTTTTTGGCCGTAAATACAGTCATGAAAAAAGATTCCTTACACCGCCATAATGAACCAAGTTATATTTCTTTTTATGTATAGCTGAAGAATAGTTGCCTATAAATCTAAAGTGAGCACTAAATTAAAATACGGGCCACTTATTTTGTTGGAGGATGAAACCTAAATCATATTTTTTTTATTTGTAATTGTATATGTTAAAGATGAACTTTAAAAAATTAAGTTAAAGCAGATAGCTTTAGAGTTTCAATAATTAAATAACTATTATTTAGAAAAGTGAAAGTAAAACAAATACATTTCCAAGAGATTCTCACAGGAATATAATTATGTTATTTTTATTTTATTTTTTGTGTCCTGTTTTTTCCAATATAGCTCTGCGAATCAATGTCTCAGAGCTAGATGATAGCCCAACAGTTTTGCTTTAACAAGAAGACCATTATGACAGTTGCCATAAATTTCTGTTTGTATATGAAACTTTATTGAAAATAATTTACGGAGTAGAAATCGTATACAACGGACATGGAGACAGAAGGGGATGTGAGAAAGAAAGAGGTCATAAGAACTAAGGGGACAGAGAAAGCGATACAGACAGGAAAGAAAGCATGAAAAGAGAGAGAATAAAACATAACAGCAAAAAGAAGACAGCAGACAATCAAAGTAACATTAAAAAAAGCTTAAAGAGCAGCTGGTATCCTTTAGATATCCATTTGTCCAAGGCAAAACCTATGGCGATTACGCAATATTATTCAAGGTGGTATATATCTGTAGCTGCAGCTTAGTATTTTTTATTAATGTGTATCTGTGAACCCCTGAAACCAAACTCATTGGCATGCTTGTGTATAAAGGATTTACAAAGCCTTTTCAGAAGGAAAATATGCTTAATAGCGGGTGTGGGTGTCCTAAGACTTTCCCTACAGGCTGTAAAGAAAAGTTCTGTGTTTAAACCTTTATGCCTTCTCTCCCAATTCTTTACTGATGAGAGATCGCTCAAAACAAATTTTTTAATTAATACTTCATAATGTATATGTATTAAATAATCATGGGACATGACAACATATTTTGACAGAAACTATAATCTTACTCAGACCAGAGAAGTTTTTTGGTTTACAGAAAGCAGCTGCCTACCAACCTGTTCGCTTCTTATTGAAGTTGTTAAAGAGGCATTTTATACCACTGCAATTTGACACATCCTCACATCACTACATCATACACATTTGTAAATGAAGAGATAGTCCTTGCTCAAGCCAGAGAACTCACTGTTAAGAAAGGTCCACCCTGTCTGTGCCCCTATTTTATTCCCAAATCTCTGACATGTACATAATGAACATGATAACTGTATATCCTCACACAAGAACTGTCCTAATTAGATAAACTACTTGGGCAAACATTGGTTTTGACACTTAACAGGAAGTTAATATTAGGGTTTAACAGATTCACACATCATCAATAAAAATAATCCTAATAGGGCCCAGGACCGATAGAGAGGCAACACGACCCCCAGATATCCAGAGGCACAGCACAGTGCTGAGGACACACTGAGCATGGGCTTTGCCGGCATACAGAAGGTGGACCCGGATGGGAGCACAAGGGTGTGAAGTTTGGGGGTGCTAAACCCCTTATTGGGGACCCTACAGGGCCAGGAGGCCCAGGCCTGACCTGGCAGGAACCAGGAATGACACATTACCCACCGAGTACCCAACCCCACACCTGGAGATGCATTAGCGCGCCAGCAGACACAAGCACCTCTCATCAGCAGGGAGCATAATAAGTGGGAGGAAACAGGCTCTGGTCATATTTGAGGGCTAAGATGTTCAGTAAGGGAGGGCAAACACCCAACCAACGAGTAGACAAGGACAACGTCACATTCATTCATTCAAATTCACAGATTCCCAACCTTACACCCATAAGGACATATACAAGTGCTTAGCAGAGACACACACAGGGATAGACACTAAACATGTTCTTACACTCCTCATACATACACTATCCTTTCCCCCCAAGAACCCACTCCCAGTAGGGTCAACACTGCCTCAACAGCTCCTGCCACAGCCCCTCCATTGCATCCCCCATAAACAGCACAACCGCCCCAACAGACACCAGAGCAGGTAGCCCACCCTCCAAAGCACCCACCAAGCTACCCGAGCCCTGGTGCCAAACACTGTCATGATCTGGCCTGCTTGCTCCCCCTTAATTGGTTATTTCTCTCACCTGTCGTTTTCCCTCCCTGCCTCAATTATCATTTATTCCTCTCACCTGTTTCCTTTGGTTTATATTCAATTCAGCCTGAGCAGTCAGGGCAAGATCATTACTTGTCTTTCTGTTAGTTTGTTGAGTTTTATTTCATGGTTCATGTCCTGGATCCTGGCAGCCAGTGGAAAGAGGGTTTTTGTGTCTGTCTTGTCTCCTGATCGTCCACTGTTCCTCCCCCGCAGAGTCCTCTGGGTTTTTGGCTCTATATGTGGGGAGGTTCAGTTTTTATCTCAGTAAGCCTGGCTCCAGGGAGGAGACCAGTTTAAAGTCCTGCATCAAGTTCTGGTTCCACGTCCTGTCTCGGCTACCCTCTTTCACTGAGCCTGCTCAGCTGCACCTGATCCTGTCTGCTTCTGTGTGTGACCACCTGGTCACACCTTCGGACCCTGTCAGACTCTGAACTCTCCTGGGAGCCTGTGGATGCCTGGAATTCTGGATCCTGCCACCTGTTTCTGTTCCTGCCTGATCTGGATCCTGTCCCTGTCTGTTCCTGTCTGTTCTGGATCCCTGACCGGGATCGGCTTCCAGCATGTCCTCTGGGTCTGCAGCACTTGGGGACATTCTAGGACTGGACTGTTAAACCAAGTAAGTGACCAACTCAGATAATCATCTTCTGTCAAATGACTGTGGTCACTTACCTGTGTTTCTCCTGCAGAGTGTCTGTGATTGGGCGGTGCCCTGCTCCCCATCCTGCAGTGTCTGTGAGCCACAGCTCCACTTTAGTTTTTGTCTTATTTAATAAACTTTTTGAACTTTCCTACTGACTGTCTCTCCTTGAATACTGGGTCCTTCTGTCCGCGTTTCTTGACAGACACCCACTTTTCACCCCCAAACGACTGCAGGCACAGGCCATGTGCAAGGTCAGACCAGGCAGGACGACAACACAAGCTGAGGTACAATCAGTCAGCTTCCTGGAAGGATGGGCCCAAATCCTCCCACATCCCAGACCCCCACCCATTGCCCAAACCATGCCCCGTCCCAGTGGACAGACAAGACATCAAAGCCATAGGATGGTAACCAAAGGCTGCATGGCGTAAGGAGAGCCTGAAACCCCATCACATCAAGCCATGACCAACCCCAAGGGGCCAGCCCATCCCTTGGTGGAGCGGAGGAAACAGCGGTGCCGTTCCAGCCCCTGTCCAGGCACAGATGTAGTATTGTTGCCTGTTGGACCACTGTGTATTTAAAACCCACCCTAAACCCTAAGTGTCTAAATGCATCCCAACCACCACAGGTGGGCATAAGCATCAAAAGCAAATAGATTTTAGAGAACTAAGATTTTAAAATGATAAAAATTTGCGTACAGTGAACATCCACGCCACTGATGTCAGGGAGGGCTTTAAGGATTAGTAGCAAACTTTTCCAAGATGTCAGCTACACTACAGTTTGTTAGCTTTTATAGAGTTTTAAGGATTTACATTTAATATAAAAATACATTCTTTAAGAAAATAACTCAAATGCAGTAGATCAGACAGGAGTAACTTTCTTGATCTAAGGGTCACAACAGGCTTCACACGGATAAATTTGAACAACAATGACACTTCACAAATGTCTACAAAGATGTAAATACGTTGATCATATGGCTGCACTATGTTATTCTATTTTAAACTAACCAGGGACATCTCTGTAAAATAACATTTACGTTTCTTTCTGCCTGTGAAGTAGTAAATATTTGTAATCAAAAAAACTATATATTTGCATGTTTATTGCAGTTTTGTTTATTCTTAAGTGCATTTCATGGCTTCCTAACTTGTCACATAAGTGGTAGAGGTACTATCAAAACTATAAATATACCATATTTGGTTTGCTAAGAGTAGTTAGCCTTATCGCTACTACAGAGTTTATCTAGATAAATTAGAAGTTTTAACCTGGAAAAAAGGTGTATGTGAAAACTATAAAAAATATTTGTTTTCAGAAAACAAATAGCAAATCTCACAGGTTCGAAGACTTTATTCGATTGTGTTTCTACACCATAGAGTCAAAAGTTGTATTTCTTTATTTCTGCAGAAATTAACTTAGATGATATCCTGTTACTGACTCTGTGATTCAGCTTTAAATCTTTTAGGAAGATTTTCCATAAGGTTTGTAAGAATGATTATGACTGGGCAATATTTTGATATTATAAAATCAATAAAAAAGGGAAAATAAAGTGATATAAAATGAGATTATGTTATTTATATCAAGATGGCATTTTTTGTCCAATCCCAGTCCAATTCAACTTTATTTATAAAGCACTTTAACATTTCCCAATGATCAAAGTGCTGCACAGTGAACAAGAGCAAAACAAAGGACTTAAATTAAATAAAAAACAATAAAAGCATAAAGTACATATTCTTTTAATCATACTTTTATATCTGCCAGTATGGGATTTTTTGCCATTTTTCCTCTTTATCTAAATCTGTTTGCTAAAAATATAGCCTGTGTAACATTTGGGGCATATTTGTACTTAGATGTGCCTTTTTATCATTACTTTATAAAAGAAGAAACTAAGGGCGCAAAATGATACAATACGAATTGAAATATAATTATATTCAATAAAGGTGATATAGTTCTAAAACGTTATTTTGAAAGAATATTATAACATGGCTAAAAAATTGTCATATGTTTGTACAGGATTGTGTTGTGCACATTCCTAGCAGTCTTTCTGAGGCTTTTGTTTTCTTTATATCAATATCAAATTGATATAGTATTTACCAATATTAAAAAATATACTGTAATATACGTGTTTTGCCTTATTATCCAGCCCCAGGAGAAACATTGAAAATAAATATTGAATGATGACATCCAGCTTAAAAATATAAAGATTTAGTTTTTAGTGTAAAGTTGCCAAGTTCCAAATATGCTTATGGGATTTACTGACCATTCTAGGTGAGACCCTGATGTTGGACAAAACATCAGGGTCTCCACACTAGGGGTGAGTATTGCCATGGGTGTTACTTGGGTAACAATACGATATTATCATGATATTGCAATATCACTATATATTGCATTTTTTCCAGATATCTAAATTAAAAAGGCAAGTATTGTATATGTTTATTGAAAGTTCTTGATAATTAAATTATTTTTCTATCCATGTTGTTTTGGGTTTGAGTCAGTCCACCTCTTCCACAGTGACTGCTTCTACTACAGATATGGAGCTGATCGCACAACAAAAGGGTTCCACAGTGCTATCTGCCAGAGTGGGGGTGCAGAGGTAGCCCATTTTCCCTAATTATTAAAGGTAAAAATGTGTTGTTTTTTTTAAGATCAATATTAGGGACTGAAAGATCAATATTATATCAGGCAGCCGAAAATCTGAAAATGTCACCAAATCAATTTTTATTACAACCTTACTCTACACAATGTCTGTTCAGTACATTTACTCCATTACATGATTAGATTTCAGTGAGAAACTACAGTTAAAAGTCTGAATATCCCTACATTTTGCAATGTGAATGGAAACTGAAAAGCTCTTGTGGCTCATATTAAAAAGCAAAAACAAAAACTTTTCTAATAACACGAGAAGTTTAATTGAAATAGAAGTGTTGTGAATGTTTTTGTGTACAGTAACAATATCTGTCTACCTGGCAGCATTTCATAGATGTCATCTTCATCTTCTTCAGGTTCCTGAGTCTCTTGCCTTCCTATCGTCCTGCTGACCTGCGAGGCCTGGCCCATTGGTAGAGGTGGTGGGCTGACCACGCCCTCGATGTCATCGTACTCATCCTCGTCGCACTCATCCTCATCAACAGGGATGATGTTGGAGCTGAGATCTATTAGAAAGAGGGAAATGCTGTGATCCAGCTGAGTGCTTTAAACAGAGCAGAGAGAGTTTTTCCTCCTGATGCTAAAATACAAAATATCACTGCATCCTATAACATATGCTTAATTTTATGATTATTGTACCTATTTCTGTTTTGTTAAACTGATATTAGAAGTAGGGCTGAAACGAATAGTCGAGTTAATTATTGAAAATAATCTGCAACTGTTTTGGTAGTCGAATAAATCCATTACCTAGAGTAATGGAACAAAAAATCCAAAACATGCCATTTGCTGAAAAAATAATCTACTTTCAACAGTACTAAAAATATAAAAAACTTCCATTTAAGACATGCATACATCTATATTATAGCATTTCTTTTCCACTTTTTCCCATTTACAGCTCATATAAAAGGCTTAGCAAAGGTTTTTATTTCCTAAGTTCAAAATATTTATTTAGAATTGTTAATTTAGTCAAAGTATCTCTTTTTAGATTAATTAATTAATCTTAAAACATAACTGATGTATACCTCAATTACTAAAATTACCAATAGCTGCAGCCCTAATCAGAAGAATAAAGTTAAAAATAGCACACAAACTATTTGGCCATTTGGACCTAAAAGCATATAGGCTGACGGCCAGAAAGACTAACTGCTGTTCTAAATCTGCATCACCCTTCTATGAGCTATGGCTGGCCTTGGGGCTGGGTTATATAATGTATATATTCGATGCATCATGCTTTCTTACCCGTGAGATGTTTAAGATGACAGCATCATTACTATTTGAATATAAATCCCAACAGCAACCTCATTACCTCACCAGCCCTTGTTGAAAACTCCACTGCATGTACAATGAGGAATAACTACAACATCGTTAGAAACGTAATGATGGATGGATGGATGGATGGATGGATGGATGGATGGATGGATGGATGGATGGATGGATGGATGGATGGATGGATGCTCTGCTACTTTAAATGCTGTGAAACAGCTTCATTCTGTTCTCTATAGTGCAATTCCTAAACAAAATCATGTCTTGCATCTTATAGGTCTGATAGTTAGTTAGGAAATTATTGATCTTATATCAAAGATTAAGATTTGTATTTGCAGATACAGTATGCTCAACAATATAAAGTCGTTTTTACAAAGTGTCCACATTTTTCTTCTGGAACTAAAATTATTAAAAATCATTAATAGGTCAAAGTTAAGTCTTTTAAATCAAAGTTAAAACCCATTTGTTTAGAACTGCCTTTAACTGTTAAACTACTGTATTAACATTAATTTAAGGTTGTGGTGCAACTGTTTTATTGGCTTTACTACCAGCTTTTATAATGTTTTTATCTTTACTTGCTTTTATTTTGCTTTGATTTTCCTTCTAATCAACTTAATTCATGTAAAGCATTTGAGTTGTCTCTGTACTGAAGTGTGCTATACAAATAAACTTGTCTTGCTTAATAGTTGATGCAAAACCTACATATATGACAATATTTAAATATCTCATGCCACATTTTACGATAAATCAAAAGAACCAGGATTTAGATTTTACACTATGTATTACCCAGCAATAGGTGCTGCCACTATAGTTTCAACCCCATGTAATTTCGCAAAAAAGACAAAAAACAAAAAAAGTGCATTCTCACTTATTGTCTATTTCCAGTTTAGCTTACTGAAGAAGATCAGCAGGGAATCATTTCTGAATGCTCAATGACCTTGGAAAACTCTGGTAACATTGGCGTTTCTTCTGGTTTCTCATAAAAAAGCCTTCGTAGAAACAGTGTTACTACCTGTAAAAACTTGATCCTCATAATTTTATTTCAACCTTTTTTTCCACTATTTTACACCAAAAAATAGCTTATTGGATCTTACTTATTTGGAGGATATGATTTTTGCCAAAAAAAAGTTTTTTCACTGATTTTTAAGATATATTGAAGTATTATATATACTGTATTTGAACATAATTGGAGGAAAGTGCTGATCAAAAAGAGGGACAAAAAAAGGCAAGACAGGAAAGTAAATGTAGTTAGATAAATATGAAAAGCAGTAGAGATCAGCTCTGTTTTAACAAATGTTTAGCAAAATAACCTTCAGACAAAAGGGACTCCTAACACAACTCTAAAACGTAAGGCGGAAAATAGCTACTTTTCAACTATTTTTACAGGTCAAAAATTGATGGCACTATTTACATCCTTTATTTTTATAGGTAGGTGAATAAATGCTCGTAAAAAATTGATGGGCTCTCAGACTTCACCCTGCTGCTCTTATTGTCTGGAAACAACCTTCACACGGTGCATGAAGCGTAACCAAGAAAGGAGAAGGAATGTGCAGGAGGAGCCTGAAACACCAACACATGCACACCTGATATAATGCAAAGGTGGGCACTTATTCACAGGATACCTGACATAAGGATAGAAATGGTAAGTATGATCTAGTAGTAACGAAATCAAAAATTTAACCTATATCACACAGATCCTACAGTTTATGGTCTGCTGCCCTTATAATTTTTTTTGAACAGTCTCTTATTAGTAAACATCTAAGAGTACTGTAATTGTAAGATTTGGCTTTGAACCACGGGTTTTCTGGACGGTCTTTCTTTGGTCTCTACAACAAGAACTAACAAATACTGTGCAGTAAGACGACTCTTTCATATCACAGCCTTCAGCTGTGGAGCAGCTTTCCTGAGGGAAGGTGAGAGTTTGAGTGAATTTAAAGGCAAACTAATCATGCAGCCATTCAGTCTGGCTTTTAACTGAGGTTTATAGCTACTCTTTTCCTCAGTTAATTTTATTACAATTCCCGCTTTAGACACTTTTAGCAACTTTTATATCTACTTGATTTTACTGCAATTTAATAGATGTATAATTTGAGCAATAACTGCCTGGTATTCTGATCATATACATATATATTTTATATACATATTTATGTTTTTTGTTATCACTAATGATAGCTGTATTTTTCATGTTAACCATTTAATGCTTTTAGATAACTATAAACTTATTATGCAATAAATATTTGCATTTAATGTATTGACTAGACAGAAATAATTATGTTTTTTTTTGTCTGTTAACATAGTTTTTTTAATGTATTCTTAATGTTTTTCTGCCCTTTATCACCTCTGTGAAACACTGTGTTGCACTTCTTTGTATGAAAAGTTCACTACAAGAAGTTTGATTGATTTAATTAATCTGAATGACAATGTTTTTATCCTGAAAAGAGTTAAATATCGGGTAGTTCTTAATAACCTGAGATTATTATTTATTATTAAAACAACTCATGAAAAAGACCAAATAATAATGATAAAAGATGCTTTAAAAGCTGTTTTTTCTTGACAAATGGACAGTGTTTGGAGAGATCAGTGAGGGGGCCAACAATTGAATTATGAACACAGAAATTTTCAAGTGTATTTTGAGAAGTAAATATGGGGCATAAACACGATCATAAATAACCGTCTTTATAGTCTGCACCGGACTAGAATTTGGAGCAAAACTATGCTTGGAGGACGTAAGACAAACTGCTGAGTGTCTGTTACTTCCCGCACACAGTCGGCGAGCCCGAGCCCATTTTAGAGAGCTGGAGACGCGAGTGCTGGCTCAGATGGAGGAGCTGTCTCATTGCAAGCGACTGGCTGCTGCAACACGGGGTATCAGGTCCTCCGCCATCCAGCAGCAGCCAAGCAGAAATCAATTTCACTGGAAGATAACCAGAACATCTACCAATCAATTTCCTGTAAGCTGGAATTTGGTAGGAGGGCAGTGGGAGGCGTAGCTGAAGGAGGTGGAGGAAAACTAGAGAGGCACAAGGATGCACATCACATTGTGGGTTGACAAGTCAAATGAGAGGATTCAGGATGTATGTGTCTGGTTGTGTAGTTAGTGACAGATCTGCTGCTTTTTCAGGAAGAGATGATAAAGAGCTCCCACGCACTTCTGACCTTTTTGCACCGACGAAACACAATAACAACTATGATGGGAAAAAAACACGATAGATTTATACTTCTTCAAATGTTTTTTCTTACCAACCTTTTAAAACGTCAGTTAAAATAAGTTTTATTCAATCATTATTATTACTACATTTTCTCTATGTTGTAAGGCTTTACAACATGAAAAAAAAAATGAGAGAAAAAAACAAAAGTGAAAGACGTTTAACACAAGACGAAGCTCAGCAGAAACAAACAGAGAGAGACGATGGCTTACCTTTCAGAACAAAATTGATCTGGGCCACCCACTCGTGGGCGTCTTGAGGGCTGCTGGCTGCAAACTGCAAAAAAAGTGAAAACGATACATTCTTTAAATTATATCTAAACACTGTAGTGATCATCTGGAACAGTTCCAATTTTCTAAATATAAAAATGACATTTTGACGCAAAATAAAGATATTAAAGTGCTTGAACATTAAAAAAATCTTGAAATATTTGCTAATAATAGGTTTTAGTTATTGTCTACTATGTTTTTTGTTATTAATAATTTTAAAGCTTAGGAAACACATAAAAAAATGAATGAAAGTGAGTGAATGAAATACTACAATTAAAAAATAAGCAAATATGAAATTGAGAATTTTCCAAACAATAATGCATAAGATTGTGGGAAAAAAAATCCAATTACTTTTCAATTATTTGTATAAAGTTGTGTACAGAAATTCAAACTAAATATTTTATAATGTTTGGTGATAGTTCCACGTCATGCAAGCAGCTTAAAATTACATCTTCATTCAAAAAAATATTATGTTTGATTAAATTAAAGGTCTTTTCAGGCTTTCTAAACAAACAGAAAATAATAAAACCTTGAAAAAAAATGGAAACAGTGATACGAAGTCAAAAACAGCACAGACGTCATCTAAAGCCTCCCTCTCTTGGTGGTAAACAATGTGGAAATATGTGACGCTAGTTTTCCTCCAGCTGCTTTCATATATGGGTTCTGCAGATGTGAGTATAATCACCTCTAAGTGATAAATTGTTAGCAGTGACAAACAGACGGCTTTAGGGTGATTATCGTCAACCGACCTGGAAGGCCCGTCGTCCCGGAGCGGTGAACTCAAAACAGGCGTTTTTTTTTGTCTTTTTTCATGTTGGCCATCTTTAAAGTGTAGTCACCGATATAAAATGAACCTTTCTGCTGTTTATCTGCAGGGAGGAGAACACGTGTTAGGCTGTTATTTGATTCACTTTGTGCAGCTGTAATGTTTTTTCCATTCCTGCTACAAACACACCTTTTTCACTCCCGAAGTAGTAAAAAACAGAGTTGTTCAAAACGCACCACCTTTTCTGCCACTCTGAGCCGAAGAAGCTGTGATCTGAAGTAGAACGAGACGAATTAAAGATTTTATTAGCAATCTGGGTAATTAGAAGTGAACTTATGTATGGATGAGGTAATGGAACATGTTCTGTTATACCCTTTCGTTTCTTTTCCAGATAGCCTTGCTTTAAGATGTTGGTGAGCTCCTGGGCTCCGACTGAAGGGATGTCGCCAAAATCTGTTGAACAGACAAAAGAATCAGGCACAAAACTAAGAAAAGCTCTCAAAGTCAGAGGCAAGTCCTAAAACATTCTCATTGAACCAGAAGTTTTGAAATTGTTATAAATGACGACTTTCAGTCGACTAATTTGTTTATCAATAAACTGTTTGGTAGCTGACGCCAAATAGGCTGCACTTAAACCTCCTTTACTCCTTGGGAAACACGTGTACACTCTTCAGAATATAAATCCCCTAACGGTGGGGATCAAATACATCCCCCGCAAGGCTTCAGGAAACTTGGATCAATACATTTACAGTGCAACTCAGCACTGCAGTCCATTCATCTGCTCACATAACAATTTAATGAGAGCAACCTTCCTGTGGGGATCCAACAAGTCCTTGCTCTGCAAACATGATAGGACATGGCAAAGCTTAAAAAGCCTTAAGTTAATCAGTGCAGTACATCGGTAATGAATAAAGCACTGGGAGGTTTTTCATTTCGGTTCTTACATAAGATGTTTGTAGTTTTACTTAAAATAACGAGTAAAATTTCTCTTTTCAACCAGTTAAAAAAAAAAACAACAACCTTAAAACAGCTATTGTATTTTTCTACTCCAAAATGTTCATGTTCGTTTTTTTCTCAATTCCACATTTTGAAAACATTATTTCACCTTAAAAATTAACACTAGAAAAAATTTCAATCTAGATAAGTCATTTTTTTCTTAAAATAAGTGCATTTTTCTTGGATTGAGGAGGTAAAAGAGACATTTTGCCAATGGAACAAGACAATTTACACTTTAAACAAGAAAACGCAGTTGCATTGTCTTATTTCAAATGAATAATATCTAATTATCTTATTTTAAGAATAAAAATACTTATTCCATTGGCAAACTATCTCATTTACCTACTCAAATTAAGGGTAAATGCACTTAATTTAAGAAATTTTTACTTATTTCTAGATCATTTTTCCAGCGTTCAAACAATTCAACAAAAAAATTTCAATGTATTAGATTTAAAATTTTATTAGCTTTTTTTTTGTAATTCAAAAAAGGAAAAAATTTATATTTTTGTTAGAAATGTACCATGTTCTGCAACACTAAAGAAAACATACAAATAACGTATAGATCCTTTTCTAAACGATTACAGCTACAAAACATATTGCAGGAACACCAGGGTAATAGTTCCTCTTTTAATATGAATTTTGCTGAATGAGTTTTATGTTTTACAAATAAAAACAAAAAAACTCCAATACAAAACCAAAACAACAAAGAAACAAATTCTTATTCTTTATTGTTATACTAGCACGTGTTCAGATCTCTTCCACGACTGCAGGTTTCAAGCAGAAATGAATCCCATCTGAACAGATGGACAGGAAACTAAAGAGACCAACACTGACACACCAACCCATCAAATCCTATGCTAGTCAGAGTATATTGATTTTTACAGTAATAACACTATTGATAACATATATTTAAAGATATTTAATCATACAAAGATTTGAGCCAATAATTTAGGTCAATAGAAGTCACAAAAGGTGAGAAGCTCTGGTAACTCCGGCACTCTTGAAGGACTTTAGCTTCACTTTAAACCAGTAAATTTGTTGGATTCTGATACCAATACCCAGTTGATACCTTATTTTAATGTTCGGTCCATGTTCTGACTCTTAAACCTGCCTCCTGGGCAGCATAAGAGTGCCACCTTCCATGTCTTTCCGTGAGCCATCAAAGCTCAGCCGCCTCTGAATTTTATTAGCCAACATGGGGGAAAACACACAGGAACGGTGAGAGGTGCCTTTTAAAGCCTTGCAACAGAGGAACAGTTTAAACACCATTCACCATAAGTCAGCATGACACCTCTATTCAGGCCAGGGATGACGAGGGGGAATGCCTGAGGGCCCCCCTCCCTACTTAGAAAGGGTCTGTTTAACTGCTGTGAAAAACCAAACATGTCATCCTACAACTGGCTGATCTGCTTTAAACAAAGAGCATCCCCCCCAACTTCAGTCTCACAGGAACTCCCCAGTGTTCCTGAGTCTCATTCATAAAAGCTAAACAGTGGAGGACTTTTTCCCCTTATTTCCCAGCTTTTCCTGCATAACTTTAAATAAGACAGCAAAGTGAGATCCACTGCTGCTCAGGTTTGTGGTCCTGACGGATGAGTAGGTCATTCCAGCACAGCACTAACACTCCCACACATCATCCGCCCGCCTCTGTGGATGGACTGACCGCTGACACTATAAATACAGAGGTGCTAAGGACTGTTTTGTCAAAGAGAACCTGATTCTGTACATCATAACAAACAGCGATCATTACGCTCCTCCACCTCATTTATCCGCCGGCGGTCTGTCTTTTTTCTTTCCTTCCCCCTTCGGCCTTACTTCCCTGTTGCGACTCTCCTCTAATCCCCTCATCAGTCTGCTTCCCTCGCTCTTCATTTATCTCAAAGGTCGAGCTCAGGTAATAGATGAGGAGCAACAAAAATCAACACAGGATCACTCCGATCTGCTAGAGTCAATAAACATTACACATTCATCCCTGCTTAGCGCTTTATCGCCAGGTGACCCGACCTCACTGGATTCTCCTTTGTGTGAAACATGACGCCAACGAGCACAAAAAGACACCCCTTGGTTCTCGATTCTTCCACACGGTAGCAGCACGTGATAAAATCATCCCGCTGGTTAGTGTTTGATCCCACCTGGAACAAAAACACAACCTGATTGCCGATTGTTGCCGGGTTAACCATAACAATCCCCCACTGAAACCTATTTGGGAGCGACGCAATCTTAAGTGGGCATTTAGAGGTGCTTTTATTCAAAAATGTGCAATTTAGAGCCTTTAACGCCCCTGAAAACTATCATGGTGTTTGAGTTTGGAGTTTGAATACAGCCACAGAGAGACACATTAATGCATCTAATTAAGGACTCATCAGAACTGCAGACAGACGGCACTCTTTCATAAAAATCATAAATTGGGTTATCAATTATTCAGAGCAATGCTATGGCTTCATTTTCAACCCTTTTGCGTTTTAATTAGCACCATCCACAGCTTTTGTATTGACATTAATTTGATGGCAATTTATTGATATTTCAGCATAACCTATTTAGCTGAGTGCAATTACCAACATGGAGGAGCAGATAGATGCCACGTCGGGAGCGGCGTGCCACCTTTCGTAAATCAAGGTGAGGAGTTGCTAAGGGTCCATGCTAACTGAATCTAACGGTGCTCGTCAACAAGGGATCTGAGTCACCCTATTTACAAATGGTGGCAAATAATCAATAGAAATTGACCAGAAATATGTGTTTAATTGATTCTGACGAAGGACGGCTCCCAGGAGTGAGCTGACCTGTGCGAGGACAAGCGATCTGTTCTGTCGGCGTCCTGAACTCGTGTTAAACTCAGAGGGGACGAGCGACGACGCAGCCAGCAGTTTAGCCACAACCGCAATCTCTCATTTGGTTATTCACACTCCCTCAGCATGGCGTTATGAGCTCAGCAGTTGATCCTGCAAGAGAAAGCTGATTTATGTTCGCATGACCAGAGGGAGTTAATGTATTCTCTCATTAAAATCCACTTTAGTTAGGCTGAAAGTCAATCAAAGGCTGGAAGAGGAGTGAATCAAAGTGAAGGGAAATGGACGAGTGGGAAGACTCGCGTGTTACATTTGATCCAGCGGTGGTCGTAACGCAACAAAAGAGGGGATGAAAGGGCTGAAATGTGCTGAGGATGTTGATGGTTCTGCAGAAAATGAGTTTTCCGTGTGTTTTGGGCAGTGGGATGGGAGAAAAGGCACTAACAGGATTCAGCCGCAGCAGGGAAACATGTCTGAATCACTGTAACGTTTTCCAATCAACACATAAACACACTGAAACTGAATAAGTTATCCGGCTTTCAAAAGGAGTCAATATCTGGTGTGTGTGGCCGCCAAAAATAGTCAACAGAGACACCAGCTGTTGACCAAAATCTGATGGTTTTCAACTTCAATGAACTGGAGGCCTGTCGGCAATTCAAAGATAGGATATTTCCCCCATCCGTGAACAAAGAGTTATTAGATCATTGTTATGGAGCGGTCTGGATATATAAATGCTGTAGGCCTTAGGAAACATAAAAATTCTGGTAAGAATCTACAACCTTATAAAAATACAGACAGAGGCTGCGTTCCGTTTGTTGTTGTTTTTTTTTTACTAGCCTTGCCCTAATAGCCCTAATAGCACTTTATGTAATAATACTGTATGTGCTAAAGCCAGATGATGTTTTCATCCTAAAATGTGACACCAAAAACGACTCAAATCAGCTCCTATAAAATCAAAAACTGAAACACACCGATCAAACTGCAGGAAACAAGAATGAGCCAATCACCTCCTAGATTAACTAAGTCCAGTAATAGAATGATATAAGGTCAGCGTTCAGAAATAAGCCACAAAATTCTGATCAGTGCACAGTCTCAACTGTTTAATTCCTTATTCTGCTGATAGGAACGACATATAGACCCTTCCCTTAATGTTATTCTAAACATTATTCCCTTTCATTTATTCTGTATAGATTCCTTAAATGTCACATTTTATTTATTTAATTTATCAATCTGCTAGAAAAAAAAAAAGTTTTTGTCTGTATTCATGCTGCCTGACTGACATTTCATTTTGTTTGTTTAATCAACTGTAATTAGATTTCAAAGTGAGTCAAACAAATAAAAGTGTAAATCACTATGAGAGTAATTTATACATAATTTCTCCATGGACAAAATTTTATTTTGGGGTAAAAAAAAATAAACAAAATGACAGACAAAATGATGTTCTAATTGTGTTGGGAATTCTGTGTAACATAAAAGAACAGTGAGATTATCTTATTTTCTAAAACCTTTTCCAAAATCTTTGCCTGAACATTTAGGAGCACCTGAGAATCTTTTGGCATAAAATCTAGTCTGTTTTATTAGCAAAGACCAAACAGCCCTTTTCATAGACCGTTAATGTCTGTTTTATTGAGATCAGGGCGCATATTTACAGTCAGATTTCAATAAATTAGA